AAAAAAAAAAGAAATGGAGCAAGGAGAAAAAAAAAAAGAGACCGGGTATGAAAAAAAACACACCCAAAAGACCATACCCATGAATGAACAGAAGCCACACAACCCAGCACACTCTAACATCAAGACCTTACTTGGTGTCCCTACCCAAAGGACAACTTTACCTTCGCAGCTGATTCAAACTTCCAAGTGACCACCAAAGAAATCAAAGACATTATTTAATCCCAGTATCGCTCCTCACTCCAGAATCATTTTCTTACTATTTCTCAGAACACTGTTCTTTGAAAACAGATCTGTGGCTTACTTAAGACTGACAGTTAAGATCGAATCATTAAGGGACTTAAAATTTGTTTGAGGAGTTTCAGCTGATGACTCACCAAACTGGGTACAGCAGCAGTTCCAACCCCTTAGAAGTGAACGCGTGTAGTATATGACCTAACTCAGTTGGCATCTTCAATGCAGTTTTCCAAGCAGCAGAGATGGGGCCGCCTTAGGAACATTCCTTGACCCTGCTCCTCCTTCCTTTGCAGATCTTCTATCCAATCCTTTTTTCCACCTGCCCTAAGATTTCTAAGACCTTAAAAACGGTCTTCTCATCCCTGAAATACTACTGTTATTATTAGCAAGCCTGGCACAGAGCAGATGTTTCACAAATACTTGTCAGCAGAATCATCTGGTTTTAGGGTTGCAATAGATGCCAAGAGGGATAGCTTTTCTTTTCTATTAAGTATGCCATCTCAACCTGTTAACTTACATGATCTCATCATTCATATAGAACTGATCATCTTCTAGGTTCATGCAGAGTCTAAAGTCTCCACAGCTGAAGAAAGCAGTTAACATGGTCTTCCTGGTAAAAAGTCCATACCAGATGTTAAGAAACACAGGATGCTATTTGATTTCACATTAACCAAAGACTCTATGGGGCTGCAAAAGCTGAGTGCAACTTTCACAAGCATGAGGCAACGGAGAGTACTATGGCTTGGGTCGGCGCATTTAAGTCCTTAAAGTAACACCCTTGCTTTTTAGTACTCTAAAAGAGGTCTTCTGCAGCGGATTTACTAATGCAATATGTCTCTTGATCTCTTGATTGCTGCTTCCATGAGTATCGTTGTAGAGCCAAGTTAGGCACAATTCGTGACAACTTCAACCTTTCCTCCATTTATGTTACCAATATCCATCCTGACAACTTACAATCCTGGACCTTTATCAGCAAGTACTTTACTTCCTCCTTAATTTCAGCAAGCAAGGTGTGCCATCTGCACACTGCAGGTTGTTAACAAGCCATCCTCCAATCCCGATATCACCCGTTTCATAAAATCCAGCTTCTCTGATGACTTGCTCAGCCTACAGATGGAACAAGTATGGTGAGAGGACACCTGATGCACAGCAGTCCTGGAGTTCAACCACAAGTGCCTCTTGATTCACGTTCCACATGAGCACAATGAAGCACGCTGGAATTCCCATTCTTCTTCTCAAGGTTAGCCACATTTTTAATGGCCACACAGTCAAATGTCTTTGCATTGTCAATGAAGCACAAACATCTTTCTGGTATTATCTCCTTTGAGCTAAGATCCATCTGTCACCAGCGATGATATACCTTGTTCCACGTCCTCTTCTGAATCCAGCCTGAACTTCTGGCATTTCCCTGTTAATGTACTACTGCAACCATTGACTTATGATCTGAAGCATAATTTTACTAGCATGCAATATTAATGATATTTTTCTATAGATTAAGCATTCTGTTGCGTCACCTTTCTTTGGAATAGGCACAAATATGGATCTCTTCCAGGTAGCTGTCTTCCAAATTTCCTGGCACATACAAGTGAGTGCTTCCAGTGCTTCTTCAGCTTTCTTAGACATTTTAATGGATATTCCATCAATTCATGGAGTCTTGCTTTCAGCCAATGCATTGAGTACAGTTTGAATTCCTTCTTTCAGTACCACTGGTTCTTGCTCATATGCTACCTCCTGAATTGGTGTGCTGTCAATTAGTTCTTTATGGTACGGTGACTGTATTATCTTTCCATCTTCTCTTGATGCTTCCTGCATCATTCCTTTTTATAACCTTTCAGAATTGCAACTCAAAGCCTGCATTTTTTCTTGTGTTCTGTCAGTTTCAGACATGTTAACGATGTTCTCCCCTTTTGGTTTTCTAATTCTAGGTCCTTGCACACATCATTAAAATATATGACTTTGTTGATAGGAACTGCAAACACAGCAAATCCAGGGCGGATGACCCCTTCAGGACCAGTGGTGTGAGTGGCGATGCTGGGAGGGTGGAGGGACGGTGGCGTGGAAAGGGGAACCGATTACAAGGCTCTATGTATAACCTCCTCCTGGAGGGACGGACAACAGAAAAGTGGGTGAAGGGAGAGGTTGGACAGTGCAAGATATGACAAAATAATAATTTATAAATTATCAAGAGTTCATGAGGGAGAGGCGTGCGGGGAGGGAGGGGAAAAAGTGAGGAGCTGATGCCAGGGGAAAGCAAGCGGAGAACAAATGCTTTGAGAATGATGAGGGCAATGAATGTACAAATGTGCTTTACACAATTGATGCATGGATTGTGATAAGGGTTATATGAGCCCCTAATGATTTTTTTAAAATGAGATTAAAATAATATATGTATGACTTTGTCTCTCAAGCTGCCCTTTGATATTTTCTATTCAGCTCCTTGACTGCGTCCTTTCTTCCATTTGCTTCAGCTACTCTATGATTAAGAGCAAGTTTCAGAATCTTTTTTTTTTAGAATCTCTTCTGACATCTACTTTGATCTTTTCTTTCTTTGCTGTTTAATGACCTTTTGCTTTTTTTATGAATGATGGTCTTGATGTCCTTCTACAGTTCTTCAGCATTAGTGTTCAATGAGTCAAATCTGTTCTTGAAATGGTCTCACAATTCAGTGGGTTACTCTCAAGGTCATATTTTGGCTCTCGTGGATTTGTTGGTCTTTCTTCAGCTTTATCCTGAACTGACATGAGCAACTGATGGTTTGCTCCATAGCAGGCCCCCGGTCTCGTTTTAGCTGCTGAGATGGAGCTTCTCCACTGCCTTCTCACAGATGTAGTCAATTTGATTTCTGTGTCTTCCATCTGGGGAAGTCCAAGTGCTTAGTCATCTTTTGCAACGCTGAAAAAAGTTCTTATTTGCTGCGAGCACATCGTTGGTTTTGCAAAACTCTATTATGTGATCTCCAGCTTAATTTCTACCACCAACGATTTTTCCTTCCTCTCTGTTTTCAACGTTTGCATTCTAATCACCAATAACTATCAATGCATCTTGATTGCATGTTTGATTAATTTCCAACTGAAGTCCTTGGTAGAATTCTTCAATTCCTTCATCACTAGCTTTTGTGCATATAGTTAAATAATAGTTATATTAATTTGATTTCCTTGGAGGTGGACATATACAATCTTATCACAGGTAACACTGTATTGCATGATGGATTTAGCAACATCTTTTCTGACAATGAATGCCATGCCAATCTTCTTGTGTTATTCCCAACATAGTAAAGTCATATGATTTTCTGGTTCAAAATGGCCAATACCAGTCCATTTCTGCTCACTGATAATGCCTAGGATATTGATCTTCATGTGTTCCATTTCATTTTTGACCACTTTCAGTTTTCCTAAATTGCCTTCATACATTCCAAGTTCTAATCATCAGGAAATCTTAGCAACTTAGCACATTTCAAGTGACTGAAGGGACCATCCTCCAGCAGTATCTCTGACAGTGCTCCCAAGCTATGCATATGGTTTTCAGCAGCTCCTTCCTCACAGCGAGGAGCCAAGTCCTTCTTCATTGTCTATTCTTAGTCTGGAAGCTCTGCTGAAACCTGGTCACTTTGGGTGACCCTGCTGGCATATGGAATACCAGCACATCCCTTCCAGCATCACAGAAACACACAAGCCACCAGTCTGACACACTGACAGACAAGTGGCAAAGAATACGTGTATCAGCTACACAAAATTTTAATAACTAGATCACGATGTTTTCTCTAGTAGCTGATTTTAAGAAACATACCAACCCCCTGTTGTCAAGTCAATTTTGACTCACAGCAAGCCCACAGGGCAGGGCAGAACAGTTCTACAAGCTGCCATCTTTATGGAAGCCGCCAACTGTTAGATCTTTCTCCTGGGGAGCAGCTAGAGCACATGAAGCTCTGATCCTTCCAGTAGCAGTCAAGTGCTGAACCACTAGTCCACCACTAGGGTTCTGTCTAGTAGTACCTTTAAACAATGTACTTAAAACACCCCAAAGAGCATAATATGAAGAGTGTAGCATTATGCTGAGTCACCGTGAAGAAGGCATATCACAGGACATTCTGTAACACGGGGGTGATTCTCAACTGTCATCATCAGGTCAAGTTTCCCTTACAGATTTGACACATTGCAATTGCAATGGTAATACCTATGACACAGGTGAGTTACCTGCCATTTACTCTTCCCCAGAGAAGTAGAAGAGAACTTCCTTACATTATACTGTATTATAGATATGTGAGCGAGCATCAGAAAATTCGCGGAAAATTCCATTACCTTCTCATTTCATTTTCCCACAAAGTTAAGGCCTCCCTCATATTTCTCACTCTCTCACACACACACATATACACGCATGCGCGCGCGCGCCAAAACAGGCAATCTTCAGTGAGAGAAGCTATTGGTCTCATTGCTATTTTATTAACTATGATATAAGGTCGTCAGCACATTTCCGATTTTAAAAATGAAACATTTTATCCTGTGCAATTATTTCTCACTTGTCTAATATAAGTATTTAGGCAGCAGTCTTAGGATTAATCACGCAGTGATTAAGGACACAAGCTCTAGAATGGGATTTCCAGTGTCCGAATTCCAGACTCCTCCACACCATCAACAAATCACTCTGCTTGTCTTTCTTTAAAGAAAAAAAATGAAGATTCTAATGGTCCCTGTACCTTGCATTGGGCTGATGGAAAAATGGGTTCATCTACATAAACTATTTAAAGCAAAGTCATGTACACAGGAAGCAACTCAATTAAAAATGCCCACTGCTTTCCCCACACCAGTTCAGAAGTATGAGGACTAGCCCTAAAGCACTGCTACCAAATCACAGAAACCTTTCTGAAACAAAGCTGTGAAGCTATCGTTTCACAACACACTGCCCGTCCAGCTCTGCACACTTGGGACGGCAGTGTCCCATCTCTCTACCCTCCCTGAAGGATTCTGTGCTCTGCCATTTCCACATGGTCAAAACAGCAGTTTGGGCATCTTTGGGGGGAGAAAATCATGTTCCTTCTCAATATTCTTTGAGTGTAAGGAACCAAAGAAATGTCTCACATGGTCAAAACAGCAGTTTGGGCATCTTTGGGGGGAGAAAATCATGTTCCTTCTCAATATTCTTTGAGTGTAAGGAACCAAAGAAATGTCTAACAGGACAAGATCAGAGCTGTAGGGGTGGCTGCGCTATGTATGTTGTTTTCAACTTTATTAGAACTTCTTCCTAAAAAGCCCCTGCAATCTTCCTCTGACAACTGTATCACAACTGCCCCCTGGGAGATCCACCAAGACCTGCTGAGCTGACTGCTCGGCCAGGGACAGAAATGGCCCAGCAGCTCCCTTAGAAGCAGTTTTAACTGTACTTTTTTTTAAGGCGCCCTAGCAAGACTAAGACATGTGTTACCAAGAGAGTGTCACCAGAGACACATTTAAGCCATTTTCCCTGGAATGAAGCTGTGCATGTAGACCTGGATCCCTAGTAACAATGCTATGTGGACTTTCTAATTCTCTGAAAAACAGCAGTGATGGCCACAATATCAATTTCCACTTTTTAAAAACAGAGACAAGTAAACACGAAGGCTGCTCCGGACGACAGTGAGTGCATACCTGGGCGGTCTCGAGCTTAAGCTTGTCAATGTTGAGGGTGTTCCTCTGCAGCCCACTCGCCGCCAGCGACAGCAGCTGCTTCAGAGCTTTAATGTCTTCCTGCACTTTAAGCATTGCTTTCGAAGACATTCTACTGATTTCTTCTTGGACCTGTTTTTGCTCCTTCACAAATTTCCTAAAGATTAAAAAAGAACAACTAAGTGAAAAACACACAAGAAATTGGCTGTCTACAGAATAAAAGAAGTATTTTGAAACGGAGTTGGTCAGAGTGCAAGCTTTATGGCAGTTTCTGTATTTTTTTAAAGAGCAGCAACGAGTGCATTTTAATTCCTGTTGGTCAGTTTACTCTCCCATGTTCCAGAGCACTCTATTCTTCACCCATGCCTAGAACGCACACTCTACAAATGAGGATGCCCTTATCCCGTTGGACGTAACACTTACTGGAGATTTTCGACGTCCTGGCATATGACAGGAGGCAGATTCTCATCCTTCAATGCTTTACTATCCCTAGGACAAATGTCACAAATGTGTTACAATCATCGAGATCAGAGAAGGGACTTTTACAGGGCTACAGGCTACATTCACTCACTGCCATGGAGTGGATTCTGACTCAGTGACCTCAACCAAAGACAGGGTAGACCTGCCCCTGTGGGTTTCTAAGGCGGTAACTCAAAAGCATCTGGTGGTTTCTAACTGCTAACCTTGCAGTTAGCAACACAATAAGTAACTCACTACACCACCAGGGCTCCTAGAGCACGTGTGAGGATATGATAAAACATAGGAAACTGAGAGCATCCTTGGATGATTTCAAAGTTCTCTGTGAAAGGCAATATATGTGCTGGCAATGTATGTACCACATAAAATACACACATGTTCACTATTCATTTGACCTCCAGTCTTCTTATGAAAGGAGGAGGATGTATACTGTAAATATAATGAAAATAAATAATTTGACTAGATGGTTCAAAAAAACAATAGATTGGGTAAATACTGAACTGAAGGTGCTCCGGCATGCAGCTTCTATGACTGATTTTGATTGCAGTCAAAATATGCAGCAGCCCTCAAGGGGTTCTACAGAGCTGTTAATTACAAGATGTCCAAGTTATGGTTTGTTGTACAACAGCCGCTGAAATAAGAAAACATGGCTAAGGGCTAGTTGAAGGGAATCACAAATATTCCATGAAGGCAAGCCAAGTTAAATTTGGCCTGCGGCTGTGGAATGAGTTAGATTTCAATCTCAAATCTACTTCTACGCACTTCCTTTATATAACACTCAGTCTCTCACAGCTTCCTTCCTTACATAACACACCTAAAGCCCGCCCAAGATCTTTGTGAGGCTTGCCCTTGACCATCTCTTCACAAATGCTTTTGTTAACGCAACACAAATTACCAACTCTACAATCTTAAAACACTTTAAAGTATGTCCAAATGAAATTGTGAACTTACTCTGGTCTTGTTCCTGTTTTATCACCTAAAAGATACAAGAGGCTTCGTTTACAAACAGGCAATTGAGTTGTGTTTGGCACATGCAAGTCTTAAATGATGCTGTTTACTAAGTTAAAGAAATATAAGTTTTAAATTAGCTAAATTAAGGTATAAATCTTAAAAACCTTGGGTAAGCACTCAAGTGTTAACCCAAAAGTCGGTGGTTCAAACACACCAACTGCTCCTTGGGAGAAAGATGAGGCAGTCAACTTCTGTAAAGATGGATATTGTTGTTAGGCGCTGCCAAGTTGGTTCTGACTCAAAGTGACACTGTGTACAACAGAACAAAACAATACCCAGTCCTACACACACGGGACCACCCCTCACAATTGTCATGCTTAAACCCATTAGTGCAGCCATGTATCAATCCATCTTGTTAAAGGGCTTCCTCTTTCTCACTTACCCTCTACTTTCCCAAACTCGATGTCCTTCTGCAGGGACTGCATGACTCAACTGAGGAGCCAGCTTTTCCCCAGTCTTATTTCAAGGGACTTCCAAGCTGAAGGGCTCATCTCCCTGACAATGGTCTGCTGCTATCCGTAAGCTTGTCAGTGGCTCACCCCTCGGTAGGAGCCAGTCTATTCCTTCTGCCAAGTCTCTACGTCTGGAAGCTCCACTGACACCTGCCCACTATAGGTGACCCTTCGGTGTGTGAAATACAAATGGAAAAGCTTACAGTGTCACAAAAACACAAGCCACTAGAGGATGACAAACTGACAGGAAAATGGCAGTCTGCAAAGATTCCAGTCATGGAAACCCCGTGGACAGGTTCCCTCTGTTGGCGAGGATCGCTATGGGTTGGACCTGACTCGGCAGCAACAGTTTTACGGTGAGGAGAACTTGTGAGTCCACACAGTTAGGCAAGCATGAGCTGACCTCAGATCGTGTCATCACTTGTCAGGGCATCAGGAGAGTGGGCATGTCAATCAGACGTGTGACATAGGTGGTTTCCACTTACTGCTGTCAAGGAAAAGAGTCATCCTTTCTCAACCACAATCCACTAATGATGGTCGGGGTGGAATGTCTCTACTCTTGTTGATCAGTTTAATGACTGGGATGCTTTCTAGGGATGCTTTTTCGGGTTCCATCAGTGAAAAACAAAATATAATACTACAATTATATGAATGTCTCCAAATATTTTATAAAAACAACAAATTTTTAAAAATCAAATACCAGCAGGGTGACCAATGGTGGACAGCAGACTAAAGTAGACTTGGAAAGTAGAGCTGGCGATCTACTTCTAAACACAAAACTAGATAGTGAGAATCTTAAGAGTGACAGAAGAACCATGCCTGCTCTAGTGCTGGGGGATGAGCCCTTTCCATCAGAGGGCACCCGTAATCTGACTGGGGGAGCATGGTCTTCTCAATACAGAGTCCATCTTAAATGACATGAATGAATCACAACTTTCATTTTCATTTGCTGAGGGGGCACGGAACTCAAAAGGGAAAGAAAAGCTGCAAACATCCATTAATCATTTCTAGGAGAATTAGAACCTGAAAAAAATGAAATGAAATAAAAATGTAAAAACAATGACATCTCGGCCATTGTGAACCAGACAGTCATATGACTTACTAGGCTGGGAATGACAAATTTAAGATGGCTTCACATTATCAAAAATACCACCACAAAGTGAAGTCTGAAGTATATCTGTCAGTGCTGTGAAAAACCAATAGGCCTACAAATGGAAGACCAGTTAAAATGACTATTATTCAAATTTACACAAGAATCACTACTTCCAAAATGAAGAAATCTTGATGAAACGTCATCAAGATCCAATTGAAATGTTTCAGAAAGCTGAAGAAGCACTCACTTGTCTATGCCAAGAAAATGCTGAGGCCAGCTACTTGGCCTAACGACTGAAGAGATCCACATTTGCGCCTATTCCAAAGAAAGATGACCCAAATGAATGCTCAACCGATGTCACTGGCATCACACACAAGTAAAATTTTGCTTAAGAGGATCCACAATGGTTGTAGTAGTACAGTGTCGGGGAACTGCCAAAAGTTCGAGCCAGGTTCAGAAGAGGACAGGGAACAAGGGATATCATAGCTGATGTCAGATGGATCTTGGCTCAAAGCAAAGAATACTAAAGCGATATTTATGTTTCACTGACTATGCAAAAGAAGTCAACTATGCGGACCTTAACAAACTGTGGGTAACCTTGATAAAAATGGGCATTCCAGAATACTTCATTTTGCTCAGGCAGTTGTGCAAACAAGAATACTGTTACTGCATGGTTTGCATTCAGGAGAGGTGTGCATCAGGATTGTATCCTCTCACCATACTTGTTCCATATGTGTGCTGAACAAATCATCAGAGAAGTTGGATTACATGAAGAGTGTGACATCAGGATTGGAGGAAGGCTTTTTAACAATCTGCAGTATGCAGATGACACCTTATTTGCTGAAAATGAGAACTTGAAGCACTTGCTGATGAAGATCAAGGATTGTAGCCTTCAGTATGGAGTACAACTCAATGTAAAGAAGGCCAAATCCTCACAACTGGGCCAATATATAACATCATGATCGATGGAGAAAAAGATGAAAAATTGTCGAGGATTTTGTGTAATTTGGCTCCACAATCAATGGTCATGGAAGCATCAATCAAGAGATCAAAAGACATACTGCATTGGGCAAATTTGCTGCACAAGACCTCTATATAGTATTAAAGAACAAGGGTGTTACTTTGAGGGCTAAAGTGGGCCTAATCCAAGCCATGGTCTTCTCCAGTGCCTCATATGCATGTGAAAGTTGAAGGACGACCACAGGGGAATCGATGCTTTGAATTGTGGTTCTGGAGAACACTGAGAGTACCAGGGACTGCTAAAAGACAACCCGATCTGTACTGGAAGAAGCCCAGACAGAGTGCTCCTTAGAAGCAAGGATGGCATGGCTTCGTCTTACATACATATTGTCAGAAAACCAGTTCCTGGAGAAGGACATCATGCTTGGTAAGTGGAAAGGGAAAGAAAAAGGGAAAGGCTCTCAACGAGATGGATTGACACAGTGGCTGCATCGATGGGCTCAGGCATGGGAATAGTGTTGATGGTGTAGGACTGTGCAGTGTTTTGTTCTGTTGTACAAAGGGTCAGAACCAACTACCACCACCAAGAAGTCATCAAAATGCACTGATAACTCAAGGAAACAAAGAAGGATCAAAAGCTAGAAAATATGCCTATGGTTATAGAATACTGCAAGATGAATAACTTATTCATGACAAATAACCTGATTTTGACAACGTAATCAAGTCTGTGTGGGCCTCACCAGATGGAATATACAAGAAAGTGTAAACCACTGAAAAGAGATGATGGAGAAGTTAAATATCATCAGTCAGAACAAGCCCAGGTACAGACAACAGAGCAACAACTGCTCACATGCAAAGCCAAATTGAAGAAACCTAAAACAAGTCCAAAAGAGTCAGAGTACAAATAAAATTTTATACTACCTGAATACAGAAACCATCAAGAATAAATTTACTTATTAAACAGTAATAACTGAAGACCAGTTGAGTAGTGGATGATATCAAGGACACCATAAACAAAGAAACATATTGCATAGGGAGTAAAGATGTCTGAGGACTAAGGTGAGCGTGACCCACGGCATGGCACTTTCAATGACCTCGTATGACTGCTAATGTTAGAAAATGAGTAAGACAGACTGAAGAAGACTTGATGCCCATAGATGATGATGAAAAATAATGAATGTACCACAGACTGCAATGAACAAATCCCTGTTGGAAGAAGTACCTTAGAAGTGAGGATGGTGATACTTAACCTTAGGTACCTACTTTTGGACATGTTCTATCAGAAGGGATCAGTCCCTGAGAAGGGTGACATGTGTGGTACAGTAAAGGGTCAGTAAAAGGAAGACTCTCAAAGAGATGGACTGACACACAGTGGTTACAACATATGGGCTCACACATAACAATTTCGAGGAGTGCTCAGGACTGGGCAGCACTTCACTCTACTGTATGTAAAATGAAGAGGAGTCAGAACCGATGCCGAGGCTCCTAACAACAACCACTAAACCCACTGCCCTCGAGTCAATTCTGACTCAGCAAGGTTGGAGGGCAGAGTAGAAATGCTCCCTAGGGTATCAGACTGTAAATCTTGACGGGGGCAGACAGTCCCAGCTTTCTCCCACAGACTGAACCACCAACCCTGTGATTGGCAGTCCAACACTTAAACCACCCCTCTGTCACCTGGGCTCCTTCTAACCACAGTAGACACCGCAGCAGCACAAGCCAGAGTGTTTCTTCAGCTAAAGAGTGATGCGTGATTCACACCCTGTTCTTCACAATTTATTTGAGTGCAATATAAGAACATGTTTTGAAAAGATGGACAATACAGAAATATAAAAGTTAATCCCAGGAAGCACAGGGATTTGAAAAGGCTCTGTCCTGTTTTTCTGAAAATAAAGTTTTTAAAAACTGTCGGGATCTGTGTTGGTTGGTATCTTAACCTATGTTCCCTGCATGTTGTGAATAGTTTCCTGTGCTTGTTAAATAATTTTAAGTGCGCACAGAGCACCATGGCTTTAACTTCATTACAGTTGACTACATTAATCATGACTGCCCAGTGCACATTATTTGTGCACTACCGAATTTGTCTTCTTAGAAGAGAACTCTGTAGGTCCAAGTATGCCAGGGAAGGAAGGTTTTTGACATGCTGACCCTCAGAACTAATGCCAATACACTTTCTTGTCTGCCATAGGAAGAGTCTATTTTCATCACCCCTCAAAATTAATACACGTATTAAAAAAAAAAACCCACTAGTCATGCTGATGAACTTCCCTTAGAATCTTAATTCAAATTTCTAAAGCACTAGAGAAGTCCTGGTGGCTCTGTCCTGCTCCTTCGTGGAAGAAAGAGGCGGTCTGCTCCCCTACAGATTTACAGCCTTGGTAACCCCATATGGGTCATTATCAGTCAGAATCAACCTGGTGGCAGTGGATTTTTAGAGGAATGAAACATTTTTCCAATTGTACACTGAACAAATCAACGTCTTTTTTTGTGATTTGCCTATTCATATTATTTTGCTTATTTTTCTGCTGAGGTTTTTTTCTTGTTGATTAAGAGCTCTTTCAATAATTAAGTATCTAATTCTTTGTCTCATATATTATCTTATTTCATCTGTGTTATTTCTAAAACCATGATGGTGGCATTGTTGGGTAAATGCTAGACTGTTAACCACTAGGTCAGTGGTTCAAACCCACCAATCAGTCCCTCCTAAAGAGAAAAGTAAGGCTATCTGATCCCATAAAGATTCACAGCCACAAAACCCTCTATTGGGCCGCTAGGAGGCAGAATCAACTCAGTGGCAGTGGGCTTGGGTTTGGTGGCACTGTGATTTAGTGCTCAGCTGTTAACCAAAAGGGTGGTAGCTTAAGCCCACCATCCACTTCATGGGAGAAAGGTCAGGCATTTACTTTTGTGGAGACCACGCCCTGGGAAACTCCCTAGGGCAGCCCTACTCTGTCCTATAGCCACAATGAATCCAAATCGACTTCACAGGAATGGGTTGTTTTGTTCTGGACATTTCTAAAATTAGATCCCTATTACCTGGCAGTTGTAAGGTACAGTACATCTCAATTTTAGTAATTTAAAATGTCTAAATAATAATTACCTAACATTAGTGTATTTTTTATTTGCCATTTGCCCTTATACCTTAGCTTGCAAAGCTTCCTTTTTTTAAAACCTTGAATGCTTTAATCCCACTGTAATTTCTTTTTCTCACTTGGGAGTTCATGAAGACATTTTTCTTTCATATCAGTGTTTCCCCAAGTGGACAATACTGCCTGCCTCAGGGGGGGCACTGTACAGATCAGAGCGGCTTCAAAAGCAGATACCCACACATTAGCCTGGATTATGGTTTACAGTACAGGTTTTTACTTGAGAGGGGTAGCAGTGGGGATAATCTGGGTAATTTTTTGCACTGACAAGGGGGGCAGTAGGGCAAATAAATATGGGAACAAATGTTTTACATTGTCATATATCTGGAATTGTGACCCATCTTCTATAATGTCTTAGATATAGATTGATGCAGTAATACAAGGTAGTGTTTTATTTTTCTCCCAAGTCGTTCATCAAGGTATTCACTAACACGATTTCACTACCCGCTATTCCATCTCTATTATTCTTTGTAAATACTTAATGTGTAAGCATAAAACATGGGCTTCTTTCTGTATTACCATGGACTCCTGATTCATCCATCTACGCTTGTCTCTATAATACGAGGGAGCTTCCAACAATTCATGGATGGGAGAGAAATGGAGAGCTAATAATGGCGAGCACAAGAATGAAGGTGTACTAAAACTAATTGTGGTGATTACTGCACAACTCTTCTTCCTGTGGCTGAACTACTGAATTGTACGACATGTGACTTATATGCCACTAAAATTGTTGGAGAAACAAAATCATGGGAAAATCCCACTATCTTCTAATTCCATTTTCCCATGAACTTTCTGAAGCTGCCTTGTACAGGGTAAGGCAATGGCAGGCAAGGGAAAAGAGAATTAACTCCTTACATTTTTCTAAAACAATTACCGAGAGAAGGAATCTCCGTGAACACTGACAGCAGCTGGACTGAGATGGGGGGGAGACACATACCAGGCAGAGGCAGATCCCTCCCTATTGAGGGTCCAAAAGAAGCTGTTACCCTCCCTACCTCCAGCCTTGTAGCTCCTCCTCAAGGAGCTGCTACAAGGACAAAGAAAGCAAAACAGGGGAGGAGGGGAGGCTAAGTTTAGAAACTAGTCAATTTTCATTCAGAGAGAAATAGGGCAAAATTTCACAACACTTAACAGGCTTTTGTCAACTATGAGACTAGTAATCCACCCTCGAAACGTACTGCCTTAGAACAGAGGTTCTCAACCTGAGGGTCGCAACCCTTTTAGGGGTCAAACGACCCTTTCACAGGGGTCGCCTGATTCACAACAGTAGCAAAATCAGTTATGAAGTAGCAACGAAAATAATTTTATGGTTGGGAATCACCACAACATGAGGAACTGTATTAAAGGGTCACGGCATTCGGAAGGTTGAAAACCACTGCCTTAGAACAAAGCCCACACTAAACACTCTGATGCAGGTGTGTGGGCACCAAGTATTTCACAGGATCATGCTTTACCTCACCTAAAGTACACAGGTGGCTTAGCAGGTTACTCACTAGGCTGTGAACCACAAGGACAGCAGTTGGAACCCATCAGGCCCTTGGAGGGAGAAAGAGGCTTTCTGCCTCAGTAAAGATCTACACCCTCAGAAACCCATAGGGACAAGCCTCCTGTGTCTTACTGGGTCACTAAGAGTCAAAAATGATCCGTGGAAGTGAGTTTGGTTCAGTAGTTCTTCACAGAGCGCTGGTGATGTAATGGGCTAAATTTGGGCTGTAAGCCAAAGGGTGAGCAGTTTGAACCTACCAGCCACCAGAAGGTGTGATTGTGTGTTCCTGTAAAGACATACAGTCTTGGAAACTCTATGGGGCAGTTCTCCTCTAAGGTCATCATGAGTCAGAACTGACTAGATAGCCATTTTGTCAATAGTTGTTGTTGTTACGTTCTTCAGAGGGTCAATGCATGGTAGAAGCACATAATTTAATAGAACATACAAGAGACACACATGGAAAATACCAATAATTATTTTTTCCAGTATGAATTGGGACTGGCTAATTTATGCCAATTATGCCGACAAGGGAAGAGTACTTGGGGCATTTCATCCTGGGGTTGGGTAAAGGGGAACCCTGTCTAGAAAGCAACTTCACAGAGTCTCCCAATGGTCTCCGATATGCTCCTCTCTTTAAGCCAATGATTCCTTTTATAAGTATTTCTTTTCCTTTAATAAATAGCCAAAAGCATAAAGACAAATTTAGAAGAAAAGCATATACCAAGAGATTTCCTCTGTGCCTGCCTCTCAAAAAACTTAATAGTACTCCTCACACCAACCCCAGAAGTAGGCACCGTCATTTCCTCCCACTTTACAAATAAGGACACTGAAACTTAACGACTTGAATAAGGTCACAGAGCTTATATGAGTTGTTGGGCCAAGATTTGAATCCAAGTGACTGAGTTGTAGAGCTGGCTCTCTTACTCCTACGTCATGCTGTCTCCCTCTCCCAGTACAGACATCCAAGGCAGTGGCACATCTCAGCCTGAAAAAATGGGATGCAAACACCTCACAGTAAGACAGCGGTAGGCTACCCTACCACGTGGCAACACATCTACCTGAGACTCATCAGCATTACGAGTTTGTAACAGTCACTGACAGTGACAAGCACACATGATGGCCTACAGGACAAAGACTAGATCACCAGGACAATTTCTCTATCATGCTCTCAACGGAAAGGATTTTAACACACATTAAGATCACTACCTGTGGCACATGCAGACACAAATCTATGCTTTTTCAAAAACAAAACTGAATGCGCAAGAGGTGCATACTTTGGGAAACAGTGACACCACAGGACAAGCACAAACACTGCAGGTGTTACTCAGGAGCTTCCAGACACCCAAGTCTGGGTAACCTGGAAGTTCCCTCCCCAGGGCGGTTAGAACATAAAATTACATCATTACTTACTCTTTTTATCCGATGAGCTACTAAAATCAATACCACCGAGGCCTTCGTTGCCAGCAGTTGAAGTGGCTGTGGTAGTTCCCAGAGTCAGGCCTAACGCACTCTGCCCAAGTCCTACAAAGAAACCAGGTGTCAGCTACAGCACTCACTGAAGGCCCTCAACTGCTTTCAGTTGAGAAGTCCACGTTTTCTTCATCCCAGTTTGGGCAGGCAGCCAACAAAGAACCCTAGAATACTTTTTTTAAAAATTATTTTATTGGTGGCTCGTACAATTCTCATCACAATCCATACATACATCCATGTGTCAAGCACATATGCACATTTGTTGCCCTCATCATTCTCAAAACATTTGCCTCCCACTGTAGCCCCTAATATCAGTTGCTCATTTTCCTCCTGCCTCCCCATTCCCTCATGAACCCTTCATAGTTCATAAATTATTATAGTTTTGTCATCAGTTAACCTGTCCGGTGTTTCCCTTCGCCCTCTTCTCTGCTGTCCATCCCCCTGGGAGGAGGCAATACTTAGATTCTTGTCATTGGTTCCCCCTTTCTACCCCGCCTAGAATACTTTTGCTTGAGTTCAAAAGTCTCTATCAGTGCTTCCAAAGAGAGTGACAGTGCCCCCTTGTGGCAGTGCTGCACAGACCCAGGGTTCAGCGAAAGCAGATGCCTACACTTTATCCTGCATGAAGGGCTATAGTACAAACGTTTTTAATTGCTGAGGGAGTACTGGTTAATTTTTTATCCCCTGAAATAGAGACATTGGCAAAAAAAAAACCTCACTGAGCTACTTGGGGGGAAAAAAATTCAAATAAAACCAGCTTGTATTAACGAATGTGATCTGTTCTAAGACACCATCTATAGAAAATGGGACTCAAACCTGGATACAGAAAATGTAATTAGGTTACCCCCCCAAAAAGCGAAAATTACTCAGCACCCTCCCAGCAATTACAAACTCCTGTTCTGTAGCCTATCCATCACCCAAGAGAAGGTGGAAGCACCTGCTTTTACAGCCCCTGCATCATCCCAGGACCCCACACAGAGTGGTATCGCACACTTTGGGAACCACTGGTCTATAAAGGTTGGATTATGTAATCTACTTTCAAACAAAAGTCATGAAGTATTTTTAAAGTTACTATGTGGACATTCAATTTTTGTTATAAGGCACTTATTTTAAAGACACTTAGTTGGTTACAGCACTCAGCTGGTAAATGAGAGGTCCCTGATCCAAACCCCCCAAAAGCTCTGAAAGCAAGATGAGGCAGTCTGCTTCTGTAAAGAAAACAGCCTTGGAGACCCTCGGAAGCAGCTCGACTCTGTCCTAGAGGATTGCTGAGTTAGACTGACTGCAGCAAAGGTTTTGGTTTTGTTTAATGCTAATAATTTTTAAAAGTCACGGGCCCTTTAAGTTACATAAAACAAGCACTGAATATTATGTCAGGAGTTTATGAGCCTTCAGGCATACATCAAAGGCCAGTAAAGAGAACTTATATAAACTGCCGTCTACAACTCGTTTCTGTAACTTTACCTTACGGTCACAAGAACATTGTCAAAAACATTTAAATATTGATCCTGCCAAGAAATAAGCTATAGTTATCTAGTGGTTTAGTGACCAAAGGCATTTTGAATACCCACAAAGTTGGATAATAGCAAAGGTAAGTATCTGAAAGACTAATGCAAATTTTACAAATTTACTTAAGTAAAATCTAACACCACCTCCCACCCAAGACACTGGGCCTCAAAAAAAAAAATTAATAAATAAAATAAAATAAGCAAACACCTACCAATATCTACAGGTTTGATTATCCTGACTCACTCTCTCCCTTCTCACTGACTGGCATCTTCTCCATTCAACTTCACACCTGACCAGATGATCTAAAGGCACTACAGCATCTTTGGGAGAAGCGTCAAGGCATAGTCTTTTAACTCCCACAGCAGAAACGCATTAGAGGCGCAATACAACCTCCACAAATAAGCAGTCGTTATAAATGTGCCTGTGGTTTCAATTTAATATCCCTTTTCCCAAAGCAGGACACAGAAATCCTTGTGCAGAAGTGTCACTGCCGTTAGCAGACAAGGGACCTCGCTCCTGCTCACAGAGCCCTGTGCACTTTCCACTCGGTGTCACTTCATTAAGCCCGTCCATGATGAAGACTGCCTTTAAAGCCGCCACCTGCTCTGTATAGCGGCATGGGCTACAGCCACTACTCAGAACCTCTGCAAAACTGTAACACGGGCTTCTGGTTGTTTGTTCTTTTGTTTTAATGAGACAAGAAATCAAACAGCTATAAAGATGAAGTACAAACACTCTGCTAAGTCAATGCTTTCAACAGCTTGTCTAATGACGATAATGAAACTATTTCATATCTGTGTTTTAAAATCTCGCCTGTCAAACAAGCTACTACCCTTTCCTACAGTGAAAAGCCCTTCCTAGCATCATAGTGTAAGAGGTCAAGTGCCCTTTCAATGAATTCAGGCTGGAAATGGTCCAAGATCTCCAAACACTGTTCATGAAGAAGATGGGTATCTCTAGAACACAGACAAACTTCTTAAACAGGCTCTTACTGTATTGCCACATCATGTCAGCCAATTTCGAGAAAAGGGAAAGTTGACTTCGAAATACAACTGAAGTTTCCAATTATGTCTGAAAACTATCATTCAGCTTTCACACTAAAGGGAAAAAATACAGGTTACAAAGACAGTTCGATCTGCACCACAGACCTTCATGAAGGAGCCAAGTCGAGGATGCAGAATTTTAGCCCTGCCCTTACCTGCCGCTGGTGTGTTTGTGCTCTGGAAAAGTGAGCCGCCCAGGCCAGCTAAGGCTCCCCCCAGAGAAAGGCCAGTGGATGCTGTCGTAGTTGTGGCCGGGGTTCCACCCAGATTATTCAGAGTAAATCCTGTGGACGCTACAAGAGATGTGAGAGTTAGCCTTCAGGACGGGCAACAATACTACAGAACACAAATCACTTTAAAAAGAAACAACAAACTGATTTCCATAAAGTCCGCTCTTTTGGGGGAAAATAAAAGACAAACTTATAGGGACTGCCTTCCAAAACTTTGTGGCCAATTTCTATTATCTTAAATTTCTGTTTTCCCACGAACTTTCTAAAGGGCCCCCTTCCCCTACCATGCCTAGTATGTGTGTCTGTGTGTACATCTGAAATAAACAGTAGCTTCAAAGCTAAAGTCTATGACAGAACTGAGTGCCTTGATTAATAATATACTATTATAAATCCAGCTAGCTAATCAAAAGAGTCATGAAGAGATCACCAACTCCACCCACAAAATTAAATGAATCCTAAGCCAGGAAAGATTTATATGAACTCTATACCCAACACTGGCATCGAAATGTGAAACACCATTAAGCATGAAGTCCAGTATAAAAACAGTGCTCTCCATCCTACTTTGGTGAGCAGCAACTGGGGTCTTAAAAGCTGTGTGCAACTATGTAAGATTCAGTGATGGGGTCTCTCCTTGTCCGCAGGACTGATGGACCCGGCAAACCAACGCTAAGATAAGAGGAGCTGGACGGTGCCTGGCTACCACTACTGACCACTCAAATCGAGATTGCAAAAGGAAATCTTGGACTGAATGGGAGGCAAAAAGGACAATTAAAAATCACAAACAAAGACCAGGCCTCCTGTTCTTGGGAGGGCTGGCAGCATCCCTGAGACTGTGGTCCTTATACAACCTTCAAGCCTGGTTCCAAGGATTAATTTTCATCCAAACAATCCCTAAAGATCAAGTGAACAGTAACACCCAGGGTGAGTGTGTTTTTAGAACAATCAGTCACACGAGGGCAAAAGGGCAGCATTTGTTTAAAAAAAAAAAAAAAGTTCAGAAGTCAGGAAAGGGCAGGAAAGAAGACATATGGAAATGGGGGGCACTCGGGGAGGAAGTGGGAAAATGCTTGTGGGGGAAGTTGTGTGCATCCGATGTCACCAACAAAATGTGGGTAAACTGCTCAATGAAAAACTCACTGGCTCTGTAAGCTTTCACCTAAACCACAATACAACACTTTACAAGAATAAAAAGTATGAAACCAGTACTTTTTTCTTTTTCTACTGTGCTATTGAAGGGGAAGGGACCGATGTGAACAGCTCCTCTGCCTTGCTCTGTAAACAGAGATCAGATGATCCAACGGCCTCGTTGCTTTCATGCCCATGTGGAGCTTTCTTCTTCATGAGCATTGATCTCATCAAGTCAAAACTGCTGAAGGAATGAACATTTCCCTGAACTGCAATCAGGCCCAGTAAAGACAAGGTCTTCATTTACTAACCTGATAGAAGAAAAACATGTAACCCATTAAGTTCACCTTCTTTTCCCATCCTCACCTGCTGGGGTTGACGTCAGAGCAGAAGACAGAGTGAGACCACCGGACGAGGTGGAAGCAAGCGGCAGAGCGAACGGAGTGGCAGATGCTGCGGGCTTACTGAACCCTAAACTGAAACCTGTTGTAGTTGCAGATGTGGTGGCTGGTGCTCCTGTTTAAATAAAAATCCATTTTACTACTACATATAAGGTCGATATGAGTCAGGATCAACAAATAATAATGGGTTATATATGAGGGGGCTTCAAAAAGTTTGTGGAAGAATGGAATGAA